AATCCTAAGTAACCGCTAGGCAGTTACACCGCTTCGAGATGACGCCACATGGCACGCTCACAACCTTCGACGCCTATGCTCTCGACACGTTGCACTTGGTAACTGCTGGGAACCATTTTCCCTCCAACAATTCAAGTCTCAAACTGTTCGACCTTGGGTATCAGGGACCTTTGTCGAGAGGTTCCTTCAACGTCGAAGACAACAAGATTCTAACTTAAAGGAATTTCTCTAAGTATCTTGTCATTCTTTGATGAGCCTTCGACATGATCAGTTGGTCGAAGCCTCCTTATGTAGGAAACTCTTCTGACTCATAATTAATGGTCTATATGATAATAAACATGGGTGTCAAATTTAGGAGCCAACACTATAACGCCATCTTTAATACGAAGCCTCTTAATTTATATGAATTGATGAAGAATCACCTCCTGAGGGACATGTTTATGGTACAAGTCCATCGTGAGAACCGTTTTTAAGCAGTGAATGAGATAAAGTCCCAACTCTCTATTTCCAAGGGAAATCTCGCCAAGGGTCATAAGATATTGAGGATCCTAGTCAGAGAGAATGAGTATTTAAAATCCAAACTTATAAAGGTGGTGATAGAGACCTATGAACTTGTTGCATCAAAGAAGATCCTGGAGGAATCTCTCAAGGAGGTCTTCCTCTCTAAGAAGAAGTCGGAGGATGATTTGTCCACACTTAAAGATGAATTAGTGGACACTTATGACCAGTACTTTAAGAGGGAAAAGGGAACAAGTATCTTTCTTCTACCCTAAATCGGACATGTCAAATGGATTTATTCAAAGTGTTCCGCGAAAGCTAGTTGGTTGAAGAAGAAGAAGAAGAAGTATCGCCTCTTTTTAGAGGCATATCTCATGATAGGGATGCTCGGACTAAGCCTAAAGGAGACAGTAAAAAGGGGGGGGGGGGAGAATACTTTGGAGGATGATTTTTCTCGCTAGTGGAGTATTCTTGAAGAAAGGCAGGTTCTGGAGGAGGGCCAGTTAGCTTGAGACTTTGTTGATTTTTCCCTTTTGTGGCTTAATTTGTAATTATGCCCTTAGAGGTTTATGTAACTATACCATGAGGGCTTTTTCTGTAATGATTAGTGGTGTCAGTAAGGGATTTTCTCGCTTCGACTATTTATGGATTAATTAAATGATAGACTCACACGTCATTGCTTGTTTTTCTTGTGTGAATTTTCTAAGAATACTTTGTACATGTTTTTTCTTACGTATGGACTTGTAGGATATGGATTACTCCGTTAGGATCATTCATGAATGTTTCCTTTTGGGTGACTGGGACTCCTTCATGCGGATCCAGTATAATTGATAGCCTCTATGGACGATAACAAATATTCCCTAAGGACCCATCATAAGTTATAGCATGGGTGTCGAATACTTATCCATGAGGATCCAACATAAGTAACTGCCTTTGGGGTGGCAAGGATTTCTTCATGAGAATTCATCATAAGTAATTTCCCCGTGGGAGATTTTGAAAAGATTCTCCATTCCAATCCTCAGTACCTGCAAAAATAAAACAACAATATTCCAAAAATTATATAATAATATGAGGCGCCTCAATAAAAATGCCTACGTATCATTACCAATGAGGGGGAAAAGATTTCCCCACACAAAATAAAGAACGTTCGATAAATAAACCATACACTCAACAAAGATGGTTCTTTCCTTAACTGATCCAAATAATAAATTTAAGCTAAACAAAATATGGCATAACGCCTAATTAAAGTAATGGTCTTTGACTAGCCTCTTCATCTGCCATCTTCACACTCTTCAGGAACAGGGCTGCCAAATTTTCATCCTTAAGGGATACCTTTTGCGGTTCGACTTCCAGCTTCAAGTCTAAAACGTTCACTTCATATATATTTAGGTGTTAGGAGTGGAGCACGACCATAGTAACTCGTTTCAACTTTAAACTATCCATGTAGCACCTCCTGACCCCCCCTCCCCCCGGATAACCTAACTCGCCCATTAGATAACAAGTACTCCATACATATATACAATATGGATAGTGTGGATCCCATATAGTTAAAAACAAATATGCTTATCATCATGTTATATGAAGAAGATGCATTTATAAAAAGATATCTTACCATGAACATTCTTGCACTTTCCTTGGCTCCAAACACAATTTTCAAGGTGATGTAATCCCTTACATGCACTTCTTTTGTTGTAAACCTTACCAACAAGTCTTGGAAGGCTTTGAGATCGTCCATATCCAGGCGAATCCTTTTGAAAGCATCCTAGTAGAGGATTTCTAGAGAGTTTCCATCATCAATAAACACTCTTATATTCTCCCAGTCATCATTACCTTACAATTATGACCATGGGAACATTACCTTGTGGATGGATGCCTCATGGTCTTTCTTAAAGAAGGTGATTTCAAATGAATCTTTCCCTTCTTGGATCTTAGGCTTCATAATGCATCTCTCCCTTGAGAGATGGACTTGTTTAGCGTCTGGTTGAAGTTCTCTCTAGCGTACTTCTTCAAATGTCCTTGTTGAATGAGGTGCTTTATCTTGAGCCGGTAGAAATTTTTCATATGGTGGTCCTTGAACTTGTGAAACTTGCACCACCTGTTGAGTTTAGGCTTCGTGATGTCTGACTTCAGGGCTAGTGGAAAAGGAACGTTATGCATATGGAGGACCTTACGCCAAATCTTCTCACAGTGAATGTTTAAGGGTGTGAAACTTTTGGCAGGCCTCCCACTTCACTAAATTCTATCATGTCTCTAATAGGCAATGTATAATGGTTTTTGCGAGACTACTGCTAGTTATCAAGGTTTCCAGTTGTCCACTTGTTAACATATTTGGCATTCTTTTCAGTGTTTCTCTTTTCACTCTTTATGTAGCAATTTCCGCACCTCACTACCTCCGCCAGGGAAGTGGTGAGCCTCTGGGCAAGAGATTCGTTGAAATATCTAGCCCTCAGTCCATTTTGGAATATCCTCACGAAGATCTCATAATTTTGATGGACAAGCTTAATAGTTGTCTTATTAAAGAGAGCTAGATACTTTCTATAAGATCTTGTAGGTCCTTAGCGAATATTGAAGAGGCTTGTGGTGGACATTCTTCTGTGACTGCTTGTTATCAACTGAAGGACCAACTTTTTCACTAGGTCTTAGTAGTTGTGATTGAAAGTCGTGGTAGGTTGATGTATCATTGTAACAATGCCTCCCTAAATGTGCCAGAGAGAATCTTTCATTTCAGGTAGTTAGAGGCTTCAATAGTTATCACATGTGTTGATAGAGGCGACATGCTCTTTGGAGTTGTTGCATCCATCGAACTTTGCCAAGGATGGTGGCTTGAAATTTTCCAGTGTCGGTGCCCCCCATATTTCATCAGAGAATGGTTGGGGTCCAGGACCCCGATCTCCAAAAGAAGGTCAACCTTTTGTTGGCTCTGCTAGATGAGAAGGACGTTGTCCTCTAGAGTTTGATTATGGAAACATAATACATCCATGGCAACACGCATTTTCGATATTGCGTTCTCGTCTCCGCCCTAAATGATATTGGTTGGAGAGTTCACCTTCTTGTTCACCATGTTAGATAAAGGCGTTGGAGAGATGGGTGGCAATCTAGTTGCTTGATGCGATGTGAACGCCAATTTTACTTCCTAAAAGTACAATAGGTGAGAACACTTATCTTTGTAGAGTTATCTGAGGGTTTATGTTATTTGTGATGTTAGAGCAGACTCATGCAGAATGGTGAGAAACTGTGTATCTAAGTGATTTTTTAGTGAATTGAATGTCCCTTCTCAACCTTATGGTTGAAGTTTTTGTAGGAATCACTTGAGTCAGATTCTTAGGACCCAAGATAATGGTTAACGTATTCTTCTCTCAAGAGCGTGGGAGGTAAGCAGATATTTTCTCAACCTTATGGCTGAAGTTTTTGTAGGAATCACTTGAGTCAGAATCTTAGGACCCAAGATAATGGTTAACGTATTCTTCTCTCAAGAGCGTGGGAGGTGAGCAACTATTTTCTCTATTATTCAAGAGAACATGATGTCCTTGTTTGACTACCCATCCCATACCGTTATTAGGCAGGGACACATCATGCCTCACATTTTCATAAGTTGGCGAGTGATTTGATTAAGGGGCGAATAAGAACTCTACTTTAGGCGATGTGTATTATCTTCTTGCCCTTGTGGATCTGGTGTTGCCTCTTGTGAATCTTTTATAAACATTCTGGTACAAAATATATTCTCTAACTCTAAAACTATGTCACCAATTTAGTGCTCCTATTTAGTGTAATTAACCACCATAATCATTTTAATTTTAGCACATGTCAATCAACAATTAAAAGCAACACTCTTTCTAGTGTTTTCAACTTCCCGATATCACTTTACAACTCTACAACACTCAAAACCTTACTCCATCCATAACGATTAATAAGAGAAAAATCAATATTTCATACTTATTAAAAAAGTTTAAATTTGTGTTTTTAAAAATATGGTTTACAGGAAGATATAATCATATTCACAATCATGCATTTAGAATAAAAATAAATTCTTTCAAAAAGTATTTAGTTTATGTACCTACAATTATAAACTAAAACAATTTGGTCCCAATAACTTTCAAATGAAGCATCATTCATATGCAATGAATCATCTCTTTCATTAACTTTTTGGTCAACATTTCCTCCAACATGCATGTATATATCCAAAATCATCTTTTCACATTATAGGTTATAAGGTGGAATTTGAATTCGTGTATGGAAATCACAAATCAACATTTCAATTGAATCAACATTTCTATTGATGTCAAAAGTCTAATTCTACTATGATAACATAAGTAACAGATGTGAGATATTACTATTGGTGTCAAAATTTGATTATATTTAGAGAAAAAGTAAGCAAACAACTTACATAACTGGTAAAAAGTAATATGTTGCATACCGCTACCGAAATATAAGCTACTGATAAAAGAAACATCAAACTTCACACAACAAAATTGAAAACGCATCTTAAGAATGGCCTGATCCGACTAAATTGCTTGGGACTTGTTTAGGATAACACCTTCATATTTAACTTGGAACCACTTCATGGCATCATCCTTTGTGACACGGTGCTGGATTCCAACACGTGCTTTGCACCGACGACGACGTCCCACACGGTAACCAGGGCGCTCCAACACCACAAAGAAATCCATTCCATAAATGCCAGTGGATGGATCATACCTGAAGCATAATTTTAAAATATCAACATGAGAAAACTTTAAACAAAATAACATATAGAGGAAAAGGAATTGACACATAAAGACAACCACTGATTGATTTACTTATATAATCAAATTAAAGGTCTAATCAAGCTGTGAACCATATAATCAAACAAGTTAGAGATGATTCAAAGAGAAAAAATCAAGCTGAACATATTATCAAGTATAACAAATAAAAACTCTATTTCAGCATAGATATGAATTTGTTTGGCTTACTTGATTCCTAAATCGATGTGTTCCTGGATACCAAAGCCAAAACAACCAGTATCACTAAAGTTTCTCCTCAACAGCTCGTATTCCTTGACCTTCAACCCGCTTTCCAAAAGCTGCATTGCCTTGTCGCCTCTAACAGTGACATAGCATGCAATCTTTTCATTCCTTCTAATACCGAAGGATCGGACGGTGTACCTAGCTGTCAATAAGCACAACAGTGAAAGAAGAACCAATCAGAGTGCAACCCAACACCAACACAAATATCCAATAAACATGTAAATTATGTCGTGTATTGGTGATTGCCGTAGAAGTTAAACTAGAATACTAGTCCTAGATAATGCAAATTGGCTTAGAGTCTAGGAATTGCAGAAGGCTAAAACTTCGTCATCTTAAGCCACCATAAAGACATGCCACTTAATAAAAAAATGGCCATAACCATAGCCAAAAAAACAATAAGCACAATTGTTCAAGGCATATATTTGATAAGTGATAACAGCAGAGTATTTTGGTAATAGAAATAGTAACACAATGCATCTTGATACTACAACCCAGCATCAAGTAATTTCTTCTATATGGGAATTTGTCAACTAAAACAGGTTTATGTTCTTCGCTTATGAAAAGGTTAGTTGAAGCTTATAGGTGCGGATAGAACAGTTAACTGAGAATTCGGGAAAGTAACAGATATGAAGAACCTAAATTCAGTTTACATGAGAACTTTTTGTTTTAAAAAACTCCAAATTACTGTTAGATTCTTTTTTTCCTAGTACTTGTAAAGAAGTAAAAGATGTCATGCAAGAACTTTCTTTCCCAAATTCGGAGATGAAAACTAACTCAAAATATGCTTACATAACTTTTCAATTATGCAGTTGGTTAAAACCTAAAAACTAGTCTATAATAATATTTTAAGCAACCATTGCTACAGAACCATTATGTTTTTCACACTCTTCAATTACCGATTATTCCCCCTTCATTAACAAAACAGATAAGAACATAAAAAATTCAACAACAACAAATTACACAGTCAACCAATCATAACAGTTACATAGTTAATCACATTTGTCTTTGATGATCATAACCGTTAGATTATTAATTACATTTGCCATTATTGATAACCACTTACAAAGTCACACATATGGTTAGTTGGTTGTGATTTTCTTCAAGTGTAAAATCATGTATCGCAATTAAACTCAAAAAACATATAAAAGAAAATATAAAAATGAAATGTTAGAAAGTACCTTTGGAGAAAACAGGGGTTTGGCCACTAAGCTGTTCAAGAACCTATGAGAAAGAGAGAAAACAAGTTAGTGTATGTTTAGTTTAACTTTTGAAAGAGACAAGCAATTCTAAAGGTATAAAATCGATTTTGTAGTAATTTTGAGGTATTTGGTTCTTCGAAAATAGAATTGATTATGCCTTCATAATTGATTTTACTTGAAGCTTATTACATTGAAATTTACTATTAAACTCATTTTTACATAAATTTATCCAAACATAAATCACTTTACCAACTAAAATCAATTTTACATAATCAATTCTTTTCACCAGAGAACCAGACACATGCTTAGTTATAAAATGAGAAATGATTTGACCTACCCACAACATTTCACACCAAAATTCAACCTAATTTAGATAGTTAATCAAGCACATTACCAAAATTCAACCTAAATGAGAAATGACTTAACATTTCACACAATGTTAAGTCATTAACCATCTCCTAAACCTAATTAACAATGTGTTAACCATCAAAATCATTAAATTTTTTTGCAAATTTTGATATAATTGACACACAATCATCCTGTGGCACCGACACCTCTGAAAAAATACGTGTCTGTACCAGTGTCTGAAACTGACCCGACCACTTGTGATTACATTTTATTTATTCAGTTTTTCAAATTATTGTCGGTGTCGACATAGTGTGTGTTTGTGCTTCATAGCAAATTTCACATCAAAATTCAATCTAATTTAGATAGTTAATCATGCTCGTCAATAACAATCTATAATGTGTTAACCATCAAAAATCAAAAACCTGAAAAATACCTTGGCGGCTCTGGTTAAACGATCGCCACTTTCACCGACGGAGATATTGAGAACAAGTTTCTGAACTTTGATTTCTCTCATTGGATTCGCTAGCTTCTTCTCCGAAGCCTAACATTATGAAAACGATTAAAATATACAATAGAAACAGTGGGAAAAGGAAGATAGAGTTTTGATTTTTACCATTTGGAATTAGTTGTGGAAAACTACGGCGGAGACACGGAGGAGAACGGCGCGCCGGTGGTGGAAGAGAGAGACCTGTAACACTCGGGGTGGATTCGAGTGGAAACTATTTGCTAGGGTTTTTAAGCTCTCGTATACTTAAATTACAATTATACCCCTCTCATTTGTATTGCGATTTAATCGGTGTTTTAAAATTAGAGTTGCCTCCGGTCGGATTAACCTTTTAAAATTGTAAATGAATTAAAATCTAAAAGTAAAATCAGACAAATTAAATTAAACTGTTTAAAATCGTTCGAATTAAATAATTAAAATTGATTTTATAAAATTGTCTAATTCAAAAAAATATTTATCATAGACATATTTTAATATTTTTTATAAAAAATTAAAAATTATTATTACGTTAATATCAATTCTTAAAACATTTTCACTTAAAAAAAAACTCTTATTTAACATAAAAGAACAACATAAATTTCTAAATTATAAGTCTGTAACATTTTAAAAGAATCAATTAAATTAAGGTTTCTCTTTGATAAATTTTACGAGTCACATTTAAACTCTTAAAATTTTAAAATAAAATAAAAAAATCTAACATATATTGTAATTTTATGTTTTGAATTTTGATATCACAATTTTTACAATGCTTTGATTTTTATAAGAAATAATTAGATGTACCTAGATTTATAATAGTGATTGTTCATAGAAAATTTTTCTTTATATTTAATATATTTTTTTTAAGACCTTTGACGAAAAATTCAAAATATTCATATATAAATGCATCAAATTTCAATTTTTTAAATGTGTTTTCAGATATGCATATCAGAAATAATTTAATATTTCGTCTGCGAGTTTTCAAATATACATATCCGAAGTATTTCAACTATTAAAATCAAAGATTTATCAATTCAAACAATTATAATGAAGATGTATAAATTCTATTAATTGTATTACCTTATCAATTATTTACATAAGTTTTATATATTTTTAGTGTGTTAAAAATAGAAAAATGTTATTTATTTACATCAAAATATTTATTTAATATAATAAATTTTCTAATTAAACATAATAATTAATTATCAATTTTATAATAAAAATTAAAAAGTATCGTCTAAATTTAATTTAATTTTTAAAGTTACAATTAAAAAATATTTCTTATATTTTTTTATCAAAAATTATTCATAATTTCAAATAAAAAATTAAAAGATAATCACATTTCATCATTATAATTAAAATTTTAAATTTTACATTTATTGATTAATTTTATATGATAAATTTACTTTAATATTTATTTTTCAATTAAAATTTTAAATTATTCTTTATTAATAATAATTCAATTTAATTATATTATAATTATATTATAAATAAATATTTTTTCCAAAAAAAAAAGGATATTAGGTGATTTCGAATATGCATATCTGAAATCTTCCTGATAATTAAATATAAGCGTTCGTTCAGATATGCATATCTGAAATAATCCAATATCCCAAATTCGCAAGGTGCGTTTGGATTTGCATATCTGAAGGGTATTTTCGGACTTTCAAAGATTTAACTCACCACTACTAGGTGTAAAGAGAAATTTTCTTGTTCTTGTGTTCAAAATGTGTCATCAGCATAACACTTCATCATTTGATATTTGAAACGAAAATCTAGTTGCCATTAAACAAATACTTACAAGATTGTTAGAAAAATTAATTTAAAACAAATGAATTGAGGTTAGAATCGTGAAAAGAATTATTCATCTTATAAGTATTTCAAGCACTCTCAAATATCTTAGAGTTGGAAAGCATGGATCTATACTCAGGATAATTAAGCTTTTTATTGAGTTTGCGTAAGACCGGCGAAAACTCGAATGTGGCGAAGAGTGTTTGGAATTTTCGATGAAGATGATAGGCTTTTCTGATGTGTTTTTCTAAATCCGTAATACTCAATTTATAGGTCAAACTGGTGTTGTTTCATAAGATTGCGACTCTTGATGAAATACACACTTTCAACAACACTTTTACTAAATATTGCATTGTTTCGCCTATAACAACACTTTTAAAATGTTGCATTGTTTCTACAACAATGATTTTCAAATATTGTATTATTTTGCATTCTGCAGCACTTCTCGAAGTGTTGCATATTTTTGAATTCAAAATTTATACTGCCTACTACAACACTTTACGAAGTGTTGTCTATTTTCAAAAATTTTCAGTTTAAAATTTTCTTATAATTTTGGAACACACTAATGATAAATAATTATTATTAAGGATTAAATATATTTTCTATCTCTATAAATAACCCATCATTCAATTTAGTTCTTATAAAAATTTCCTTTAAATAATGATCCTCTTAAAAAAAAATTATCCACACTTTTCGTCCCTGACGTCAATTTCCTCTGACATAAGCTGACGTGGTACGTCATATTACACACCACGTCGCTTAAACCAAACATGATGTTTGACTATAAATAAAAAAAACTTTAATTTGGGGTTTTAAACCTCCTTAAAACACAAACACAAATACAGTATGAAGGTTGGAATAATTTCATTATATTAGCATAATATCACTCTCTTTATTTTATAATAAGTGTCTCATTTGAATTTTGCACACTTTAAAAAAATGATTAGATGTGTTGATTTTAATGAAAAAATTAGTATGATTTACTAAAACACTTTTATTTATTATAGTTAGTAAAGTAGTTGAAAAACGTAAAAGTTAATAAATATGAATATACTAATGGAAAAAAATAATAAATATATATTAATATTTTAAAGAGACATTTATTTTAAGATATAAAAAAGTACAAATGAAACATTTATCATACCACGAAGGGAATACTTGTTAAACCTAAACCATTAACATATTATAAATATGACTTTTAATATTGCTTCCTTAATAATGTGGATAACTAATTCCATAATATATCTTTAGTGACTGAGTCTTGATGCCATTAATATGATAATGGTGATACCTTTGCAGCTACCATCTTGTTGCCAATTTTAGTGTGTATCATATAAGCATAATTAATTATTGTAGCATCTTGAGGAAAATTCCTAATCTACATAAAAATATGGTGAAAAAGGAAGTATCAAGAAACTACTGATGGTATAATTTCTAATTTAGGATTCTTAATTATCTTCCACAAAATCTCTAAAATTCATGTTGTCTAAAAACTCTTCTTGCCACTCCTTAATAACATTGAGCCAACTAATCTGTAGGAAAGGATCATGTAAGCCAACAAAACCATGCTATTTTTATCATTAACGGACATATATCAAAATTACTTTTATGAGTAGAACAGAACCAACGATAACAACTCATCGGAAACAGGAAACAGGAAACAGGAAACAACAATTCATAAGTATACCATATTCTTGGCTTGTTATCTTTGTGGGAAATGTTTCAACCTTTAAAATCTTATGCATTGACATGACATATCGAGTTATGATTGTCAGAGGCATTTTATTCATGGATTTAACTTTTTGAAGAAAATTGCTATAATTCCATTGAATATAAACTGTTAGTCTTAAACCAAAGTATATATATTTAATAGCAAAACAAAATGTTGGTTTGAGATTTAGCCAATCCTTGATCAAATATCTTCTTTGCTTTGAAATTATTGATGATATTTATGCAATCTAATTTTGATTTTGGGTTATTTTGTGTGGCACTTTGAACACACAAAGTTATTGGACTTTAAGAAATCAAATGGTTCACATGGTTTTAGTGACATAATCTAATGGAGATCAAATGGCTCACATGGTTTTGGTGACATATTCTAATAGAAAGGATGTGGAGTTAGCCGGTAACAATTTTAACATATGGAAAATGAGTTAAAAGAAGAAGAGCAAGATAAACATGAAGAAAATCACTAAATTTAGGGGGCTGTAACCCCCGGAATCTAACATATATTTTCCAGTTAAACATATTGTTGATTTTAAGTGATGTGTTATGACACGTCAACTTCTGTTAAAGAAAATAGATGGCAGGGACAGAAAGTTTTATGAGGTCTATTTTTTGAAAAAAAACTTTATAAAGATCTAAATTGAATGATGGTATATTTCTGAGGACCTCACACATATTTAACTCTTTTATTAATTATAAAAAATAAGAATATTTCAATTAATAGTGTGATATTTAAAGGTGGGTGTGGATTCTATATATCTTGTATTTTTTGTAATTGTTTTTATAGATTGTTATAGTTAAATTTCTTTTCTGATTGAGTCCCTCTTGTATATCTCATAATCCAAGTTTTTCTTTAAAAAAAGTGTGAAAATATTTTATCTTTAAGATTTATTTTTCTTCAAATTTTATTTAAATTGCATTACTATATTAAATTGACATTCACATTTTATTATAAATAAGTTATATAATTACTACTTTAAATAACACTCACATTTTATAACAAATAAAAATAAATTATAATGTAATCCCAAATATATTTTTAATTAATTTTTATAACTTCTTTAACATTCACATGTTTAATCTAATTGTCTATTAGAATTTTTAATAAACATTGGAGAGCTTTTATATGCTTGACAAGTTAGCAAATATGTAGCAGTAATTAAAATATTTAAAAAAACTGAAAATAGAAAGATATATTAACTCAATCAAACACGATACACACAAAGCAATCAAAAGATTCAGCTACAAAGAGAGACAATGAGCCAAGTTAAGACATCATAAAACTACTAACGAGAGGCCTAAGCTTGGGTTTAAGTCAAGTTTTATACAGTGGTATCAATAATGTGATTCATAATGTTGTTATTACTATTAGGGGTCCCAAAACAATACCCACTTTCGACTTTCCACATCTCGTAGACAGATTCAACAATACCACATTTAAGCAAATCACATTTCCAACCTTTGCCTCTGCAGATAGACATGATCAATTTAAGTTCATCATCCCTTCCAAGAGAAGTGTGATTAATATTGATCCAAGTGAGAACTTTAGTCCATATATTATTTGTCATGGGACATAAGAAGAACAAATGGTGGATGTTTTCCCTGTCATTACAAAAACA